ATTTTGTTAATTCTTTGCAATTTTTTTTCCAGCTCACTTTCCAATCATCAGAACAGCCTCTCCCCTGCCTCAGTGTTGTCTTCAAGCACATCACATGCAGTAAGTCCTATTTGCATTTCAACAGTTGTTTGGCATATAGTCAATTCATGTGATGGTTAAGACCATGTGGTGAAGTTCATTGTGTCCCAGTACACAGAGCTGCAGGGAAGAGAGGCTGCCCACCGCCAGTGGTGAGAAAAGTCTTCGCTGCTGGTGATGGGTACTAGACCAGGAATAGCTGTTACAGAGACTGGGCAGTCACACAACTACAGAGCAGATTTTCATGCCAGCAAGGGGGAGTGGAATAAAGAAAGAATTTATTGTAACAAATATATTTAAAAAAAAAATATTTAGAAGTGGCTGTCTGAAATTGCTGCAAAATGTGGACTGTTAGCAGTCTCCACTGGAGAGGTTAACTGGCAAAATGCAGGTGATGGAATGATACATGTCATGACAAATGCCTCATAGCATATGATTTTAGAGTTTACCATGTGGCATTGTTGTCACCCGTGCATTTAATGCACTTGAGATAATGAGGCAAATGGTAGTGAACACAGTATTCTAGATGAGGTTGCACAAACAAAAGTCAGAGAGCCACTGCAGTGTTCTGTGGTGGGGTAATTTTGTACAATCCCAGTTGGTGTGTGCAGATAGGTTACTGCTTTTCTTTATGCCTGTGTTTTGCTTTTTAATACTCCACCCCTACTGAATATGTAACTTAAAAATTCACACTTACCCAAGTGTCCTTCTTTTCTGTTATCAGAGTTGTTTTGGCTTCTCTATGTTGATGACACTGTTTTGTAAGTGCGACAATTTTACAGCTGAGGCGCTGTACTGTGCTGGATTCAAACCAGGGACTCTTATCCTCCTGTAAAACATCTGGCCTGCATCTGAGTTTACCACATTGACTGTTGTGGGGCGCTACAGTTTTAATCTTTTGAATTCCAGAAGTGCATTGAGGAAATCATGATAGCAGTGTCCTGTATTTTGAAAACAAATACTATCTTTTGGAGGAATACAGGAGTTTGTTTAACATAAAATCGACTAGCTTAAAGGAGTATATGAGCAAAGGGCAAGAAATAATGCAATAGAGTGACATTTGAGTTACTGTGATATAATTTTGTGATGATATAGCAGTTTGAATTTAACTCTCATGTAAGAATTTTCTTTGAATAGTTAAAAATCACAAGAATGCAACTTTGTTGCTTGCTTAGTATATAGATAATGCTTATCTTTTGCATGTGCTGCTGTTACTTTAAAGATTGCTGGGATTTTTTTAATCCCCCTCCCCAGCATCTTCCACTGTGGTTTATTTGCTCTGTGATCCTCATTCTTTTTGTCTCCTTTCTAGCACACGAGTGTTGAGAACACAACTTCGCTCCAGCCCTCAACAACCTTTTCAACTGCTTCAACCTCAGCCCCTAGCACCACCTCTTCTGTTGTCAGCATGGCAAGCAGTATGAACACTACCAACAGCCTTGGCCTGAGCGTTACCAGTGTGTCTATACCAGCTGCTACCACACGGGCAGCTCCCTTAGTGTCTTCAGGTTCGCAAGATTAACAGATCACATGGATAGGCAGAGGACTTCAGTCAGCAGGGCTGTCAGTTGAGCATCTCACCAGCCGTAACCATGCTGAGAAGTCCACAATCTGGACTAGTATTTTCAGCATGCTTTATTTGCTGGCTTATCAAATGAAGTTACCTGGGTTAGTGTATTTGAAATATTTGTTAGGGTGTTATGTGGCATTTATACAGCACATTCCATCCCCAAAGAGCTTTATAAATACACAGCAGAGCAGTTCTGAGTATTTGGGCTAGGAGATTCGCCCAGTTTGCACGCCAGGCTGTGATCAGCTCTTGGCTGTCAGTTCACATTAGTCTGAATTTCAGTCTTCTCTGTGACTTGAATTCATTTGGCAGTATCAAAATATACTGCAGTGTCCTCATTATCGTATGCCATATCCCTACTGCCACATCTACAGAAAGGAAAAAAGTGTCTGATGTCTGGTTCATTCCACAGCAAATAGCACTTCTGAAACAGGGTCTACAGAGAGAAGGTGGGGAGGCTTCTTGCGCTGAAGTGGAAGCAATGCTAAATTCTCGCTTGCTTCTTTAATCAAACTGAACTGCTAAAAGGAAATCCTATGGAGGGAACTGAATGATTTAAATATTAACATCAAAGTTACTTACAGAAGGATTTCTCATTTCTCATCCCCATACCTTGTAAACAAAGTGTCTGATAACTGGCTAAAGTGCATTTTTTTTTAACTCTCCTGCTTCCTAGCACTGCTTGATTGGAGCCACTGAAACTGTTTCAATCTTTGTCTCTTTGCTTTTCTCAGCTGCAACAAGTCACCCACAATAAGTATGCTGGCAGCATTTAGTGCTTTCAAGCCTATTGCTGGCGATAATGGGGAATGTGTTGACAGAGCAGAAAATGAAAGGAGAGAATTTGCTCTCTTAGATTGAGAACAATGCCTAAATTTTGCCTTCAGGAGAGGACTGAGGAAAGGAGAAGTTTCTGTAAGTCTTGCAATCCTCCTGGACAAAGTAAATGACAAAATCAGACTGCTGTTCTCTGGTGGGACTGTTTCCAGTCTTAAGTAGCCTGTGCTTTCGCTTTCTTGAGGCATGGTTAAACTCTTCAGGCTATTTTGAGCATTTTCATCAACCAACACAAAATTCTTGTGTGCAGTTCTGCCCTTTACAAGCTATGACAGTGCATCTGCCAGGGCTTGTGAACTATCTTGTCTCAGTGCTGAAGCCTTTTCTTTTCTAAAGGCTTGTTAAAGTGTCTATTTTAATTCTGCAGGCAAAGCTCCCCCAAACCTGCCCCAAGGTGTACCGCCCTTGTTGCATAACCAGTATATTGTGGGACCTGGAGGACTTCTGCCTGCCTACCCAGTAAGCAATTTAATTGTTCCTGTCCTTGATTGCTGAACTCTTGGAGCAGGTGGGTCCCCCAGAACTGCTGCTGTCTATGCCAAGGCATTTCTGTTGGCATATGTTGCACCTGGAATTCTTGTTCCATATGCTGAAGAATATATGAAATATATTCAGTGGGGATTTACTGTTGATAGTAAACTTCAGAACTGTTGGTACAGACGCGATTTGGATGCTGTTGAAGCTAAACATGCATAATGCTACGGTTTTCAGCGGTATCAGGTTTTAGACTCTTAGAGTAAAATTAGACTCATTGAGATTTGTGTTACTGGAATAGATGTTCTATGGTAATGGTTGAAATGTGCCATGTGTACTGTCTGTCATACTTTGAAAGACTGCACATAGCTTTTTGATGTCTGACCAGGATCAACATATTTTTGGTTGTCTGTTTTAAGAATCAGAAACTTATTCCAATCATCTTTCTGTATCACATTGAATGCGAGGGTCTAGTCATCACATCTTATATCCTGCTATTCTCAGAAGTAATGGTTGCAGCGAAGAAGGCTGTTGCTCTTCTTCCCAAATCTGAATGCCCTGTAGATTTTTCACAAGTTGATGAAAAATGCATGTGTGAAAACGGTATTGAAGATGGGGCAGTCATACTCTCCTCAGAGGACTACTGTCGCCAAGAAGCAACAACAGAGTGACCAGCCATTTTAAGCTTAGCTGTGCTAGCCTTAAAATGCTACAGTGCGCCACGATGGCACAACGCGACGTATAGCTGTACACCTTAAAAACAGACTGGGCCTAGGTCAAACTGTTTGAAGCCCCAAATTAGTCAGTGTCGGAGAAGAGTGTTATAATTAAGTTGTATTTTTATCTGTCTTTAAGCAGATTTATGGTTATGATGATCTCCAGATGCTTCAGTCCAGGCTGCCAATGGTAAGTAAATGGTTTGGTTTATTTAATTTTAAACGAGCTATCCTCAGTGTTCATAATTAGTGCAACACAATTTAGTTCATTTAATGGTGAGTAAGAGCTTATCCTTATGTTCTGTGTTCTGTTTTTTTTAAACATCCACAAACAGTTTCTCTAGGTGGTGTAAACTGATATAGAGCAACTGTTACATCATGCATTCATCTATCTGCAATTTCTGTAAACAGAAGCAAGCGTGCCTGTGCAGAAAGTTTTAATTAATGTAGACAGAGTATGACATCTTGTCAAATCTAGGTGAAATCTGAGCGTTACTGTTTTCTTTTACCAAGACATAGGGTTGAGTGGCAGGTACACAAATTGGCAGCCAGTAGGTGCATCAGACAGGTTTTGGAGGTGATAATAGGTGGACATATTTGCGTATGCATAATGGTGACAAATGCAGGTGAGCTGCAGTAGGGAGAGTATATGGAGTTTTCTTACTTACTGGGATCCAGATTGTAAATTGCCTGTGAGAGATGCTGAGCTCCCAAACAGGTTCAAAAAGAGCCTCAGCCTAGACTGCAGAAAGGTACAGAATTTTGTTTTCATAAAAGTGGGGTAAGGACCTTTGAGAGAAAGTTTGGTAGTATCTAACTGCGAAAAGTGTCAAGATTAAGTGATGTGGTGTACCTGTAGAGGCAGAAATTGAGCAACAAGCAGTGGTCTCGAAAAGAAGTATCACTGCATGAATGCTGTAATTAAGAGTCCAAGTCAGTACCAGGTCTTCCAAGAGGGCTCTGGGGACAGCCAGAATCAGCTGGTCAAACTACAGGGCTGTACAGAGTTTCTATGAAGAGGTAGAAACAAGTGGCTCTTTGGGGAGGTGCCAAAGAGGAGAGCGGTCAGGGGATGTGCCGAGCCCTGTTAGGAGCAGGGCTTAGAGCAGGTGTTGAGTGGAGGTGTGTTCCCCCCATCCCTCAGGCTGGTTGGTGGGGTTGTGAGATGAGAGGCAATGGGGAGCGAGGATTTTGCAAGCGGTCTTTATTTGTTCTGGAATAAATAGGTGAATAAATAGCTGAAAGCATTTGTGTCAATAAATAGTTGTGTAAATCGGGGAGCGGTGAGTGGGAGGAGAGAGGTGGGTTTGTTGTGGGCCGTTGGTCTAGTTGTTGTTGGTGCGTGTGAGGTTGTGGTGGTGTTGGAGGGAGACGCGAGCTTCGAGGAGGACGTGGTCCCAGGCGCAGGCGGTGTGGTTGTGGGTGCGGAGGAAGTGTTGGATGTCCCTGAAGTATTTGTTGAGGCGGAGCATGAGGTTGCGGGGCGCTTGGTCTTGGGAGAGCGTGGCGTCGTCTGCGAGGCATTGTTGGAGCTGGTGGATGTGGTGCTGGAGGGCGTTGAGGAGGCGGCGGTGCGCGTGGGCGTCCCAGTGTGGAGGGGTGTTGGGTGGATGGTTGGACTTGATGATCTAGAGGTCTTTTCCAACTATGATTCTATGATTTTGCAGCTGGTGGAAGAGGGACTATTTGGTGATATTTCACGTAACATTAACACATATCAACATTCACAGTTTTATCTAGAGGTTTGCTATATTTGGTCCTTTTGTGAGAACCCAGCTATTGCAAACAAATTATTACCTGAGAATCTCTGCATTGTTTCATAGTAACATAAGCTCCTAACTCTAAAACAAACGTGAAGGGAAAATTAGACACATCCAGAGTTACCAAGTTACCAACCTGATGCCCAGTGCACAGTCCTACTGCTCTGCCTGTGTGCTGGAAAGAGCTCTGGGTGTTATGTGAATGTGTCTTGCACGTGTTTCTGTCCTTTATTAAAGTGCTTTGGTTTACTGACAAGGTTTTCCAAATGAAAAGACTTTTAAAAAAACCCCACCAAACACAGCCTTAAGACAAACTTCCAGGGAACCTGGGACATGTACAGAGTAACAGGGAGTTGTTGTCTATGCAGGTTTATACCTATTCTACTTTTAGTTTGTTTTACCCCACCAGACCTTTATTCCAGTGAGTCATTCTGATGCCTTTACTGGAGTGACTCACTGAAGTAAGGTCAGCGAGCTCCTTATGCTCTGATTGAAGGGCAGCGGGTAGTTTGTAAAGCAATTAAGCACGCGAGAGCACAAAGCCAACTCAGTGAGACTTTTGCTCGGCTATTGCTAAGGTACTTTTGAAAAATTTCCATTTACTGGATCCGCGGTCCAATGAAGTCATAGGGAATTTCCCTATGATCTGCTATAGGCTTTGGATTAAGGCTAAGTTGTGTAAGCAAAGTTGCTATAAAATATTTTAAAGGGTTAAATATAAAAACCTGGTATGAGAGACTTCAGAAGTAAGTTTTCCACTTAGTAAATGAAAGTTTGATAGAACAAATCAATTTAAGAAACGAGAATTCCTGAAAGCGCGGTAGTAGCAACAGATGTGGCTGTTGCGCCGCTGATGTGGTGGTTTTGTGGTTTCTACTTTCTGTGCTAGGCTGGCTCTCATGCGAGTTGTTTTCCGCTGAATTTCCCTTCCTGCCCCAGTGTCTTTTCCTTGTGTAATGCTCCTGCATTTGTTGTGGCTTTTTTAGTTTCTGTTTGTTTGTCATTCTTGTTTTCGTATGAGCGCGTTTTGAGAGCTTTGAAAATGATGTATTTGTCAGGAATTTCTGGAGCTCTGTAAGTCCTGAGCTGTCAGTAGAGGAGGTGACTGTGGGTCTAATGACTGTAGTGCTCCAGTGCTTCCGTCTAAGGAACCTGAAGGTGTGCAAGTCGATGGGACCTGATGAGATGCATGTGCTGGTTGAGGGAAGTGGGAGCTGAAGATGTGAATTGAGTCTGCATCCTATTTGAGAAGGCGTGGCCGCCTGGTGAGGTTCCCACTGCTGGAAAAGGGGAAGCACAGTGCCCATGTTTAAAAGGGGTAACAAGGAAGGTTCTGGGGCCCTTGAGGCCGATCAGTGTCTCCTGTGTGCTCGGCAAGATCATGGAGCAGATACTGCTGGAAAGTGTGTGAAGGCACATAGAAAACAACGAGGCGATTGGTGGCTACCAGCATGGCTTCAGTAAGGGCAGGTCAT